CTTTTCTAACACCAGAGACTCGTCTTTGTTCCTGTCAGAAGACAAAAGAGAAGGCAGAGCGGTCTGATGAATGGCTCACTCTGTGGAGTTCTATTAAAATGAGTTCTAGTTCCAAAGATCAGAGCAGTGACCCTGGGCAGAGTTATTAGTCAGTGACGGGTGGTGAACATCAGTACGTTCATTAAAATGGAGCTGCTAATTGTTCACTACAAACTGTCTGTGCACAAAAAGTCAAAAAGTGGAAATGAGGGAAAAGGTGATACTAAATCAACTAATGATACTATACTTACAGTTAATGTTAATGCATTACAACAAACTGAAGGGTGAAATGAACTACTCTGGTCATGGGCCACATGTGAGGGGGTTTGTGGACCAGATGTGGCCCCCGAGCCGGGAGTTTGAGGCCTCTGACTCTCTGTGGAATAAAAGTGGTCAAACTCTGGAAACAGGAAACTGTCAGAGAGACGACAGGTTCTGCTTATGTCACCTGTTTACAGAAAAAGAAAATCAAATGTTGTTTCTCAAATCACTCGGTGGGTTTTTGTGTGGAACAACGAACTACTGGAGGAGGGACTGATGTGAATAACAAAGTCTGGGCTCATTAATAATGAATGGAGACTCTAAAACAGCTCTGCTGCTGGAATTAATTTTCCAAACCTTTGCTGTCAGTTATTATTTTATCCAACGTTTGGTGCAGTGTGCAACAAAAACACACACTAAAAAAAAAAAAAAATTGGTTCATGTCAACGACAGAATGAGAAGCTGATGAAGGCAGGACAAGAAAAGACGTCGGTTCACAGGTAGTTACTGACAAAGAGAGAAAAATGATGGAATTATAGAGAGAATTTAGCAGTTGTTGTACAGATGTCCTGGTTTTTTTTATTATTGATTTACTTTGTTATTGATTTGACCAAGTTCTCATTGACATTTAAGTTTGGTTAAAATGTGAGGTTTGTACTCATTTCAGAATTGTTCATTAATGAGGGTTGTAAATGTTTGACAATAATAATAAATATAATTATAAAAGTGATGAAGTCTTGAAAGGTTTCTTAGCTGAAAGAGTTTAATGTTTAAACATTAATGACATTTTTCTTAATATATTTTAGGTAGTCTTGAAAGGTTAGTTAGCTGAAAGAGCTTAATGTTTAAAACATTGATGACATTTTTCTTAATATATTTTAGGTGTTAAAATCTTTTTAAAATCCAACCAACCTAATATTTCTGACCCATGGCCTTTCCCATATAAATCTGAATTAATTATTAATCAGTCATGTGACCATGCATTATTAGACACATACTGTATGTCTTATGTTTTCTAGTCTTCATGTTATCAGTATAAAACTCTCAGTTTCCTCTCAGACCCCGAGGACAAACCACAGCTGTGACTGTTCGCCGTCACAAACACAACTTCTCTGACATCTAATCTGCGACCTTTGTACTCCTTCATCACTGGCTAATACGTTTCTTCTCCACCTCTCCGTCTTTTTCTCCTCCCCCACTCCACCTCTCAATTATCTCACCTCCTCCAGGTCTCAGAGTGATGCTGATATCTGAGGACGCCTCCCTCCTGGAGTGGTCGTCTCAGCCGTCGCAGCCGTAGAACCTGTCGTCAGGAGTCCAGGCCGTCCATGATGGCAGCAGCAGCAGCAGCAGCAGCACGCTCCCGGTCTCTGCTCCTCCACCGCCGCTGCACACGGCGTGATTACTGAGGAAAAGGAAGTGAGACGGAGACCAGCTCGACCGTGAAGATAAAAATCCTCCAAACCATGTAGTGTAGCTTTCTCCAAAGCGGGGGGAGGGTCTGCCATTGAGTCTGCTTTATTTTATATTGATTTTCCATTTATTCAGACAGATTTTTATCCCGGTTTAAGAAGGTGTGGGAGTAAATGCTGAGTGTGAGGTGAGGAAGAAGCTCCAGAGGAAGAACAAGAAGAAGGCCAGAAGAGAAAAGTCATGGTCCTCCACACCACCCCCTACTCCAGTGCTTGTATGCACTTCCTGGACGGCTTGTCGTGGAGCCTGGTGTTCCCCTGCTACTGGCTCCTGGACCGCCTCCTGGCCTCGTGCGTGGCCACGTCGCTGGAGAAGCGGCAGCGCTCCCAGGATCCCTGCTCCTTCCTGACCCTGTGTGTCCTGATCACCACACCCCTGTACCTGCTCCTCCTCCTCACCTCTCTGCCTTTCGCCCTGCTGGGTTTCCTCATCTGGGCGCCCCTGCAGGCCGTCCGCCAGCCTTATCTTTACACCTACAGCAGGTCAGTGATGACGTCAGTGAGTTTCCTGGACCGTGAATCTTTTATCAGCCTTGAAACTTTGGCAGTTTTTACAGTTTGTCAAATGTCTGTGTGCTGGAAAATATTCACTGCTGGTTTAAGCTGTGTGTGAAGCAGTGCTGTTCATTAGGCAGGACACTCATCTCTATGGTGTCGGCTAAAGCTGCAGCTAACAACTGTTTTACATTTGATAAATTAAAATCTCTGCTCAATTAGACGCAGAAAAGTGTCGAAATTGTCAGAGATAAAAACTGCCGTGATTAACAAACAGACTGTTAGTTCTCCAGGGGTGAAACACATACATCCACCTGCTCTTATTGTTTTATTTTCCAGCAATATACTGAAAAAAAACCATATCAACTAATCATGATTAATTGTGATTAATTATGATGACAATTAGTCATAATTCATCTTGTATCAATCAGCTACCCTGTGGGAATTAAAGAAAAAGATGTTGTTGTTTCACATCCATATTTCTTATTATTAGAACATTCTGCATCAAAAGATTTATTATAAAATAGTAAAAAAAACAAAAAAACAAAATGAATTGAATCTGATATTTTTGCTGAAGAAAAGACCAACGTCTGGCATCAAATGAGCATCAGTTCCACTTGTATGCAGGAGGAAGCATCGTCACATCCTCTTTGAAAGGATGATTGACAGTTTAATCTTCCACGATCCTCATCAAACTGAGGAGTAAAAATATCTCCCTGATTGGAGGAACAAATAACGCTTCAAATTCGGCTCTGCGGGAGAAACCGCCGGTGCCGGTGCATTCAGAGAGGCAGTTTGGAATGACTGATATTGTTCGTACTTGTGCTGCACTGAAGTTGTATGTAATGTTCTGAAAGCCGGTTATTTACATGGTTTGAAGAGTCTTCACCCGCTGGTGTGGCCTCCGGCTGCCAGCCTCCATCAATTTTCAAGCCAGCGTTTGTGGCTCTTCACCAAAACCGCTAACTTTGAAATACTGCATTTGGCTCCGTCTGCAGTGAAAGAGCAGCAGATTCAGGCAACGACTCCCTGGAGAAGCAGGGAGTAAAAGGAGGAGGAGATCATTTTTATTGTCTGTCTTTGTTTCGAGTAATTTCACGTATTAAATAAACAGAAAAAACATAAAATCAAAAATGATTTTATGTTTTAGGAAGTCCACATATACAGCCTGAAGAGCCTTCTGTTTAAATAGGCTATAGTTAGTGTGTCCTAAATGTTGGCGCGTGGCCCGAAAATAGGCCACAAGGATAATGTCGGTGGGTCATAACAATTTTATCTGTCATCTATTTTTTAGTGATTTTCCTCGACTTTGAATTTCCATAAAATTATTAAATATTCAGACTTACCTGCAAACTTTCTAAGACTCAAGGTATTTCCTTCTGACTTTCTGCAGACCTGACAAGCACCAGGCCGAGCAGGGCCAGGCAGGACCTGGGGCAGTCGGAGAATGGAGGCCACAGGGCAGGAGCTTCTGTTTCTGCAGCGCCAATGTTTGTCTCCTGCCCGACTCCCTGGCCAGATTCAACAACCTGTCGGACACTCACAGGAGAGCCCGCGAGGTCGGGAAGAGGATTCGTAACGGCGCCAGCCGCCCTCAAATCAAAATCTACATCGACTCACCCACAAACACTTCCATCAGGTGAGGAGGACTCTCACACCGAGGCCTTTTACCAATCATTTCTCTTCATTTTTATTTAAGATCTTCTAAACTATTGTTTCCCAAAGAGTTTATGAATAATGTTTATTGACTTGTGTCGCGAAGGTTTGTGACTTTTAAAATATGGGTCCCCAGACAAAACTCAGGCCCGCGGGCCAAATCTGGCCCCTAGTGTAATTATATTTGGCCCAAGAGATCATATCAAATGTGTATTGAGAGTTGGCCCTCCATTATAAATCCCCTGTATACTGGCAGGATTTGTAGTATGAGCGACGTATGCATGATATTGTTTACGCAAAACTTATGAAAACAATTCTTTTCACATGAAAAAATTAAACATTACAAACATTACATATCTGGAGAGAAGGGAGAACATGAACAATGGCAGTCAATTTTTCAGTAAATATTCAGTTTGGCCCTCGACTTCGACCCAGTTTTTAATTTTGGCCCAGTGTGAATTTGAGTTGACAGCCCTGTTCTAAACTCCGTGAACGTCTTCGTCTTCTTCTTCTTCTTCCTTCTCCGTTCATCAGTGCGACATCCTTCAGCAGCCTGGCCACAGGTTTCCGTCGCACCTCCTCTCTGGACCAGCGCCCAGAACAAACACACACCACCAACGCCCCCGCAGACGCCGAGTCTGAGGCGGTCACCGAGTGTCCAGTCCACTCCACAGGTGCTGTGGACTGCCCTGTTCATCCAGCCGCTGGAGACCAAGGATGTCCCCTTCACACAGATGGTGCGGACACCGTGGCCGACTGCCAACTCCACCCTGCAGGAGCTAACAACAACTCAGGAGAGTCTACAGACTGCCCCGTCCACTCCCCCGGCTCCACCGACTGCCCCGTCCACGGTGAGGAGAGCCAGACCCAGACCCAGACCCAGACCTCCTCAGACTGCCCGTTTCACAGCTCAGGGGTTCAAATCAGCATTAGTGCTCCGGAGCCTGACCCACAGGGAGAAGAGGCCGAGAGAGGGAACCACCGTGGGGGGGAGCCCGGAGTGGGGGTGGACTCCGGCAGCATGACTGCCTCCAGGGAGTCTCTTTCTCGTTACCACGGAGGAGACACCGGAGCGGGGACCACGTCCAACAACACTCTCACTCACGTTCCCCGCATGTCCATCTTCAAGCGGCCGGGACGGAAACGCCGCCACGGAGATGAGACGTTTGACCACGAGGTCTCTGCCTTTTTCCCTGCCAACTTGGATTTCCTGGCTCTACAGGAAGTGTTTGACCACGGCTCCACCACCAGACTGCGGAGGCAGCTGCATCGTTACTTCCCCTTCGTGCTGAGTGACGTGGGGCGGTACGGCTGGAAGGGCTGCTGCTCCAGGTTCAAGTTCCTCAACAGTGGTCTGATGCTGGCCAGCCGCTACCCTATTCTGGACGCACGGTTTGAGTGCTATCCCAATGGAAGAGGAGAGGACGCACTGGCAGCAAAGGGGGCGCTGTTTGCCAAGGTCAGCTGTTTTACATTAGACTTACTCTGCATTTTCTTGTCGATCTGGCACAAACAACACACTCAGCCATAGATCTTTAAAATAAAATATTAAATATGAGAGCGCCATAGTTTACTGAAGTGTAGAGAGAATAATTACTGAATAGTTTCCAGTGCCCCCCCCCCTCCCTCCCCCCTCCCCAGTATCTCACCACCATCACACCATTTCCCTTCTTTACTAATGAGCTAAAGAATGAGGGCTTCTTATCAAATTGGCTCTGATCTTATCGGTGTTTCTGCAGCAGACGTTGGCTCCTCACAGCCGCGGGCTAATCCTGTCGTCTAAGGCTCCTCTAGATGTATCTTTTGCAGGGTGATAATTAAATCTGTCCTTCAGGTCTGTTCTGTTGAATGAGCTTGTTCTCAACTTGTAAAATGAAGTGTGGGTGTGAAAAACCAGAGGAAGAAAATGAGCTGCTAGTGGTTTTTTTTAAAATCCTTTCTTCTTAAAATATAGTTCTGGGAAATGTCCACAAAGTGTGTCCACAAAGTGTGTAGATTAGTCGGGTTACACACACCTATGACATGACGTTTGTGATGTCATGAAGTCATCGTGGTCCAGGGTGGTTCCAGGCCTAAGGCAGCCCCGTCTGAATGAGGATTCCTGCAGTGAGTGGTTCTTCTTCTCCTCTGAGTCAGTGAAGGCAGCAGCGGTGGGACGTCATGTGACGAGCGTAGACAGTCTGCAGGTTCATTAATCAGCCTCGTGCTGCGAGGATGTGAGTCTGCAGCTGATCCACTTCCTGCCGGGGGGGAACGGCTCCATGGATGTGAATGCTGATGATGGCAATCTGTATGGAGAAGTGTGTGGTCTCAGGTCAAGTCTGTCCTGATGGGAACAAACATGGTACAAGTGTCTGTAGATTTGAGTAGCAGAAAAGTTTTTCTTTTTTCTTTTCAAAATACCGCAAACCAATTTTTTTTTTCTCTATTTGTGCTACAACGGGGCCCTTGCCTTGATTTGGAATTTTATTTCCCTTGTTTAAAGAGATTTAATGATAATAAAATTCAGTTATACCTGTTTTAGATAGATAGATAAAAGTGTCTGTTTAGATCGTATAAGTATTGAATGAACAGACAGAGCAGTTCCTCAGTGACTGCCTTGCTCTGGGTGGGTGAGTGATCCGTGACACAGTCTTGGTCTGCCCAGAGCTGCTCAGTCAGAGTGAATCACTGAACACTGTCACACTCCTGTGAGAAGGTGAAAGAATTGATCTCTGCAGTGTTTGGTGGCTTCCCCAGGTCAGTGTGTGTTCTGTGATGCAGGTACCATGGCATCCTCAACTTTATTTTTGGATATGCATCCAGACAGCTGCTGCTATTTATCGACCGACTGCCGCTGGAGGAGAAGAAATTCAGACTGATGATTGTCGCCGTTGAAATAAATCAGTTTTATTAAGCCATCTATTGACCGCGCTATTAGTGCGAGACGGACGGGGCTGCAGGTTTTTACCCAACTGACCTGTCGGCTAATTGAACATGGCAAGGTTTAAATGAGCGTTGGTAATGTTGTTAAGGACCACTTTGTGTGTCATCCTGTGAACCGTCAGTACGTGAGGAGCGTTCAGACACACGGGTCCTTCTCACCACAGCTAGCTGAATGTGTTCATTGTCATTTTCTTACAAAATGCCCATCATGCTTCGCTGGAGGGGATTCAGGTTGTAGGATGGGGATGGAAATGTCTGCAGCCTGTATAATTTGAATAAGAATAACTGGTCAGTGACCTGGACATTTTTACATTAGCAAAGTTAGTGTCAGCCTTAGAGACTGTCTTTGAGACTTGTCCAACGACCTGTCCAATGTCCGTAATTTATTTTTATTTTGCCACCGACCTTGTGGAGTCCAAAAGATCCCTAAAAAACCCTAAAAAATGTTAACGCAGACAACAGGCTGCAGTACCATGTGTGCCTACAGTACAAACCCTAAAAAATGTTGACGCAGACAACAGGCTGCAGTACCATGTCTTGAACACTCATTCACTACTTAACATTTAGAGAGGCGCTGTTTTACACATAATAAAAGACTCTTAAAGAGAGAGAGGAGACGGCAATATTTTTTTTAGAATGGTTATGATTATATTTGCTTCCCTTGGCCTCCACAAGGGGGCTTCAACCCAACCCCTCCCTCCACCACAGTCTACTAAAATCCCGTGGGAAACACCAGACTTTTCTTGCAGATACTTTGTGTTTCGACATTAAAGGTTCACTTCCCTCCCTGTTGTGTGTCACTGCCTGCAGCCCATTGGCTCTGCACCCACTTTAAAGCCAAACTGCTGCATCAGCAGTGGTCCTTCGTGAACACAGCCCTGAGCAGGAAACGCTCTGGGAATCTAAAGAAAATGCACCAACACATTTCCATGTGGTTGATTAAAGGCATGTGGAGTTCTTTCCATCTATTTCTGTTTATCTGTGGCAGCAGCGTCGACCAGCTCCACGCACATGGTCCGTGTCACGCCGACGTGCTGTACCATGTGTAAATCAAACCGAATCGGCTCCAAAGATATTTCGTATTCTAGAGTTGATCACTCTGTTCTAATAAAGTCATGGATTCTGTCTTGGAAAACAAATTTATTTGGACCCAGAGGCCGGACCATGTAATTAGTCAGCCGTGGTTCTGGGCAGATTCATGTCCCTCTAGGAAATGTGACCCTTTCAGATGATTTACCACCAGTCTGTAAACTGTCAGTGCACAAAACAGAACGTCTGTCTGTCTGTTTGCAGCAAAGGAAATGAAAAGTTTTTTGACTTTTACTTGTCTCTCCACCACCCCAGGAACAGGACTTTTTATTCTACTCAGAGCAGCTGCAGAAATCACCAACAGAGTGCTGCCCCCTGGTGTTGTGGCTCTCTCCGTTATTAGAGCTCACAGCACAGCAAACAAACCTGGTCTAAATCACAATATCCTCAACAGAAATATTGGAGCGAGATATTTTCAAGCGATGAGTTGATGTGACGAAGTCCTCTGGTCAATTTTGGGTGAATTAATCCTGCTGCATGTTTAATCAGTTAAAACAAATGGTAAATTTGATTTAAAATATAAGAATTTGTGTGAAGGATAGAGGGAGACAGAGAGAGACGTTGAAGGAAGTGTTTGAGGTAAGGAAGGCAGAAATAGAATATTAATTAAAAATGTCTCCCTAAAGAGAGAGAGGGAGAGAGTGAGGGAGAGAGAGAGAGAGAGAGAGCGGTGCTGGCTCTGTAATTAAAGCATTTCAGTCTCAACATTTATCCCCTCTTATAATTATTTCAAACTGCTAAGTGCATAGCTGATGTGTGTGGATAAAACAGCAACGCTCTTGATTCCATGACATGTTTACAAAGGAAACTGTACAGAAAAAAAAGAGAACTTCTCCTGTAGATTATTGATATGTTCTGGACCTTCTGCTGTACAACAACAGGTCTATAGAACCACAGTGATACCATCAGCTCCTACATCAGCTACAGCCGTCCATAATCCCAGGTTTAATTGCGTCAGGAAGAAAATTCCCTCTGAAACAGGGAACGACCAAAATTGAGTTCCACCTGTACACTCTGGAACTGATGCTGAGTCAGTGTCGACCGTCATCAAAATTGCGTCAGGAAGAAAATTCCCTCTGAAACAGGGAACGACCAGAATTGAGTTCCACCTGTACACAATGCTGAGTCAGTGTCGACCGTCATCAACCCTATTGTTCCAGACTAGTCCTGGTAACAACCTGAAGCTCTTTCCTGAACGTCCAAAGTCCCACGCTCCTCACTTTGAGAACCCCTGGGTTGAGAGAACACTTTTTTATTGCCTCTGTGGTAAAATCCCGTTAACTAAAACCGACAAAACATGAGATGTAACGATGCCTGTGGTTATAATTGTCTGTAAACCATGACCCAGAATCCACTTCCTTCACAATGATTGGCTGCCTGGTCTCCCCATTAAAGCCATCATCAAACCCCTGTGAGTAACTAAAGCTGAGCCTCGCACGCCCCTCGTCTGACGCTAAAATTGTGGTAATTAGCCGCAGAACTCTTGCAGGTTTCATAATCAGCCTTTTAAAACACTCATTATTTTTGCTCGACTTCCAGCGTGTAACACGGCTCATTTCAGCTCCACTCACTTCTCAGTGGTTGCGGGATGTTGGTTATGCTGCTTTGTGATTGGCTGCTTTTGGAGAAGCTGCATTCTTTCTGATGGACAATAGAAACACAACAGAAGTTGAAGCACAGACAAACTCCTGAAAACTAATGTGGAGAGGAAAGGAAAGGGGAGGAGAGGGGGGTGAGGAGGGGTGAGGAGGGGTGAGGAATAGCAGCAGGAGAAGAAGTAATGAGGCTGGAGGACAGAGGTTGAGACTAAAGAAAAAATAATTGGATGATTAGATGAAGTGGAATTGGCCCCTGAGGACAGATTTGTTAAAACCAAGACATTGAAAGTGACGCAGAAATAAAAAAGTTACACACACTACTTTAATCATGTACACGGTGCACACTGGCAGCTGGAGATGTATCGTTGTACTCTTAATACTTACTATAATAATAATAATAATAATAATAATTTGAACTTCATTGATACCACATTTGTTGTGTTAACAGCACGTCTGCTGTGGGGCTCGAACCCAGGACCTTCTGTGTGTAAGGCAGATGTGTAAGGCAGGTGTGATAAGATAAGAGAGTTCACGTTTTACTAAAACACTAAAATACATTTATGTAATATTTTTGTTCCCTTGGCAGGAATTAAATATTAAGAATATAAAATACCATCAGTGATGTGTTTATGGGTGAACACTGATCTGACTGAACTCTGTTCACTGTGCCAACAACTACAGCCTGCTGTTAAATCAACCTGTAAATGTTTGTTTTCGGGGGAATGGATTAGTAGTATTTGGGGACAAAAGAGCCCCCTACTGGGAGTCTATGGAAATGAAATCGACGAAAGCTGTGACGATTATATAACATTGAATTCAACAGGAAAAAAAAAACTTGTTTGAGTTTATTTGGTACATAATATATTTTAGTGTCTTCAAACCTTAATTAATAATAAAAACCAATCACTGAAGAGTTCCTTTAGTACCAAAAACCATGGAGGTGGTCCGTGGTTAGACCAATGAAATCTCACTGGCAGCTTTTTACTGAATCAACACGATGAGAAAAGAGAGACTGTAACATCAGAGACTGCGCTGAGACCAAACACTCATTCCATTAAGAGCTGCTGATTTAGAGCTTCAGACGTTCAGACCTACAGTCACAGACTGTCTGTACTGGACTCCAGTCTGGACCAGACTGGTTTGAAAGTTGGACTCATTGGGTTAATGCTTTTTCTTGGCTTTCAGAGACTTTTTTTATTATTATTATTTATAATTTTGGACAATGAGCCAAAACACTCATCCAATTTGGCACAGTCCACTCGACTAAATTCAAGCCCACTCCTCATTAAGGCTTTTTTAACATCACTGCACATCTGCAAAATGGCATGTGTTCACTTTTTTTTTTTTGTAGGCAATATTTTTCTTTTATTATAAACCAGCAGCTCCAAAAACAATAAAAAAGAAGACTTAGGTTTTTTTCCAGTTGAAGTGCTTCACCTGTTTAATCCATGTATTGCTGTGGAATGATTAATTAACAGCAACAATTATTTAGGGTTTTTGAAGACATGGGATCAGAGCTGTCGTTGTCACATGTCATCAGTGACAGCATTGACCAACAGCACCAACACCTGAAGCCTGTCAAACACTGGACCAACGTGTGGTCCAGTGTTTGACAGGCTTCACTGAGACCAGACTGCAGGTGCAGCGTGGGCTGCACTGATTCAGAGCCTGACTGAAGACGATCACATCGGCAGCAGCTGCTGGCGTTTCCATCAGGCTGCTTTGTTTTCTGTGTCTTCAGCTTGGCTAATTACAGACGATGCTACGACGCAGCCGTTAAATTCACTTCCTGGATTGAAGGAAGATAAAGTCAGAGCTGAAATGTTAAATCTCTCTCTTTACATTTGGATCCTAGGATGTTTTTACAAACAACAGTGGGCCAGGTGGTGGCGTGCTGTGGTATTTTTGTAGATAGATAAATTATTGTTATAAAAATGGGTGAAATGACCCAGCGAGGGACAGTGAGAGAGACAGTGTCGAGTGGAAAAATGCCACTCAGTTGAGCACCCGTAACTCTATGTTCTAAGTTGCTTACTTGTAATATACTGTATATACGACTGTATATACAGTATATATATATATATATATGTATTTGTCTTAGAACTGTTGATGCTTTTTTTGATTTTTTTTTTTGATTGATTTTTTTTTCTCTCCGTCTTCTCAAATGTTTTACCCAGATTTAACTGCTAGAATATGAAGTCTCTCCATAATTCAGACTGCTGTGATGTTTCCACAGTGCAGTACAACCACACTGAAGGACCAGCTGTCCTCCCATATTGTACAAAGACTAAAAGCTACAGGGCTATTTGTCTGTTTGGCACAGGATTACTCTGAGAAGTAGAAAAAAATAATAAATAAATAAATAAATAAATAAACATTCCAGACGGCAAAGCTTTTAGAAGGGTCAACGTAAAAGCCCTTAATAATTGGATGTTTAAATAGAGCTGGCAGCTGTGTACAGTAGAGTGTGTATAAAAATGATGCAGTTTGGTTTGGAGCTCTAATGAAGTGGAACATTGATTTCTGCCTGGCTCTCTGCTGCATTTTACATTGATTGCTGCCTTAATGGATTTAGACAAAAATCCCTCCTTGATGATGAGGACGGAGCGACGGCTTCTCTTTAAGAGCAGAGCTGTCACAACCTGGTGCACTCCTCCTCCTCCTCCTCCTCTTCTTCCTCCTCCTCCTCCATGTCCTTCTCCTCATTAGTCTGCAGCCACCCACCGTCCTCAGGTTCACTCCGTGTCATGCATCTCTGATTCTTCAGGTCCCTGATTAAATCTTAAAGTTCTGGTCCGGTTTGTCACAGCGTCACCCACACACTGTCTGCTCAGGGATTGGAAGAAAATACTGAAGTACTACTGTACAGTAGTCCTGTAGAGTAGCATCCAACCAAAGTACTGACATAATATATCCATGTTGGTTTACTTCAAAACAAAGTTCAGACTCTAGTACTAGAACAGAGTTGATGGCTTTACTTCAGGTACGTTGGTTTCCACCTGGAAGGGTTGGGATTTAGATTAGAAATGTTCACTGTAGTGTGAATGAGAGAGTGAATGGTTGTCGATCCCAACACTTTACAGCAGACCTGAAACCATCATTTTTGCAAAAAAAGAAAAAATTAAAATTAACAAAAAGACTTCAACTAACTTCCACATATGAAAACATTTAGAGACAGACAAACACGCTAGCCCAGAGTTAGCAAGGGTTAGATAGTTAGTTGAAGGTTGAATTCAGTTTCATTTTTTAATGATTGCTCCTGGATCTCACCTCTGAGTACAGTGGACAGTGGAAGTCCCTGGTTGTTGGACACTGATCACTGACTGCATTTCACCTTTTTCTTTTAGCAACATCACTCACGGTGTGCACTGGAACAAACGCTAATGTCCCTGCTTTATTACAGTCCGCAATTAGATAAGCTGAGACAGAGAGACAGACAGAGAGACAGAGAGACAGACAGTCAGAGAGACAGAGAGAGAGAGACAGACAGACAGACAGAGAGACAGTCAGAGAGACAGACAGAGAGACAGTCAGAGAGACAGACAGAGAGAGAGACTGGGCAGCTTGAGATGTATAAATTAATAATAATTATAAAATATAACAATAATAACTATATTATTCAGAATTTAAATATGAAAACATTTAGAGAGATACAAACACGATGTTGTCTGTTATGGTGTTTATAATGTTTATTATTAATGTTTGCTAACATTTAGCTGCATGACCTACTTTAAGTTGTCTTCAGGCTATTAATATTATTAATTAATAATTGATTATTTACTGTTTCCCTTGAGGATTTCCAATCAGGACACATGCAGAAGGCAAAATGATGACGTGGAAATGCTTCTAACAATGGGTTACTAACTGACTAGCTACGAGCTATAAAAAAAAAAAGTTTACAGTTTAACCCTGTAGGTGTCAGTAAAAACATTATGCAGGCTGATCATGAAGTTTCAATCAATTATTTGCCCATTCAGGAAGTGAAGTGAACTGTAATTGCGTGACGTATCAGACCTTTGTATGTTCTGACTGTGACACATATTATTTTACCGCTGCTGTAATGTCTGCGCTCCTCCACAGGGGTCGCTCACCTCACCTTTTCTGATCACACACTGGTAAAGTGGCCTTTGATGTGGCCTTTCTGAATGCCGCCCAGTGACATTAAGTCATGTCTCTCTCTGCTTCCCCCTGCAGGTTCACGTGGGCACCTCCCATCAGGAGCAAAGGGTTGTGGGATACCTCACGTGTACGCACCTCCACGCCATAGAAGGTACAGTGACTTGTTCTGATGTTGTTGTTGTGCTCCCCACAGCAGCTGCCAGTTAGCATCCACCATGTGTGTGTGTGTGTGTGTGTGTGTGCACGTGTGTCCAGATGAAGCCGGCCTAGATGAATGGGCGCATCAAAACCCCAGCTAGCATCCTCTGCTGTTCCCATGGCGACTGCTTCAAGCTGTTTAAGACGTCACAGACCTATTTTTAGCCTCTAGTCGATGCCTCCCTCATTTTTTACCAACGACACGTCTCCCCCCTTTTTCTTCCACTATTTCAAGCCGCCCCTACATTTCTGCAGGCTCTAAAAATAGCCCTGTGAGGCTGCTGCTAAAAATACAATAAACATTAAAACTCTGGGGATTGTGGA